CATGAAACTTCACAGTTAACAATAGAACATCAGACACCCTGAGAAGTTCCGTAGGAGAAAAAAATATTTAATTTGATTTAACTGGACATATATGAAATTTTGTTGGACTAAAGAACTTTTTAAAAATTCTATAAAATATCTCACGACATCTTGTGGGAGGCTGTTGGTCAATGGAGGGACTGAGAAGCAGTCTCATTAATCATTAGAAGCAGGGTCCCTGAAGCCAAACTGCACTGAGTTACTTACTACTTGGGCATGTGAATTAACTTCTCTAGGCCTCAGCTTTCTCATCTATAAAATGGGGGTATTAGAACTTATTTAGTGAGGGAGTTCTAAGGATTAGTTGAGTTATTTAAGTGCTAGTCATTACTGTGAAACATTCCACTCTTGGAGCATTGCTATAAAGCTGCTAATATTGATAATTGGCCTCCCAATTAATGTTCAGAGAATCAATACCATTGTCAAATTAAAAAAACAATTCAGGGGCGCCCAGGTGGCTCAGTGAGTTATGTGTCTGCCTTTGGCTCAGGTCATGATCCCAGGGTCCTGGGATTGAGCCCCACATCAGGCTCCTGGCTCAGCGGTGAGTCTGCTTCTCTCTCTGACACCACCCCCCACTCATGTTCTCTCACTCACTTGCTCACTTTCTGTCTCAAATAAATAATAAAATCTTTAAAAAAGTAATTCAACTACTGCACTGCCATTGAATGTGCCACACGGTTGTCCATGTAGGAAGAAATTGCGCTACTGAAAATAAATGCGTGTGATTCTATACCACCGGCCCTTGAGTCTTTTGTCGTGAAAAGAACTATTTATTTCACTCCCCATGGCATCTTTATCTCTGTGGTAGGTCTCAGTGTTTGACAGACATGTGGATTCTTGCCAGCTCAGCCATTTGAAAGGCACTCCCAGGTGCATTTTGCATGTGCTGTTTCACGTGTATCCTGAGCATCTCTAAGTGTGCCAGAAATCTCCCACACTGTTGTGTTGTCACACAGTGACAAACAAGAAGCTGATTTTATTTTTATTAATTTCATTCTAAGAGCCCTTCCAGAAATAGTTCACTTTTAGAGCTGCATTTTAAGTACTCCTTAATAGGCTGTGTTCAACTCTTTCCTTTGACTAAGATATCGATCTATATTATATTTCAGTGTGTGTTGCTCAAAACATATGCTTTTTAAAAAATGATGCCTTTTGGTGATGCTGTGAGAATTTTTTGAAGATTTTGTTTTTTAGAGAGAGAGTGCGGGGAGGGGGAGGGGTCGAGGGAGAAGGAGAAGATCTCAAGCAGACTCTGCACTGAGCACAGAGCCCAATGCAGGGCCTGATCCTATGACCCTGAGATCATGACCTGTGCCAGAATTGGGAGTCAAATGCTTAACGACTGAGCACACAGGCGCCCCGAGAATTTTTTATTGTTGTGTCTTTTCTGGTGCTCAGTAGTTAATGATCTGTCCAAAGCTGCCTTTGCTTAAAGACAAAAGAATGACTTAGAAACATTTTTGTCATCTTTTTAAATAGTTTAGCTCAGTTTGGCAAGACTGCTGGGCAGAGAGGGGAAAATTCACATCTGAAATGTTCAAGGAAAAATTTCTGTTTAAGTGAAAGTATTGAAAAATAAAATAAAAATGGATTTCTTCTGATCAGACTAGTGTTTTACTAGGCATGTTTAACTAAATAATAATAATAATGAGAATCTGGTATTAAAAGGCACTGGTGAGGGGCGCCTGGGTGGCTCAGTGTGTTAAGCCGCTGCCTTCGGCTCAGGTCATGATCTCAGAGTTCTGGGATCGAGCCCCGCATCGGGCTCTCTGCTCTCTAGGGGAGCCTGCTTCCTCCTCTCTCTCTGCCTGCCTCTCTGCCTGCTTGTGATCTCTCTGTCAAATAAATAAATAAAATCTTTAAAAAAATAAAAAATAAAAAATAAAAGGCACTGGTGATTGTTTCACTCTTTTTTTCTTACCTGATGAAAGTGTGTAGGGGGCAAAGGATTCTCCAGAAGGATCTTTGAACTAGCTGAAAAGAGGCATTAAACAATTATAGAGATTTAGGTGAATTCATCCCAGCCCAGATGCTGTCCTCCAAAGGCTCAGAAATTTCCTTTGGTTGGTGTACAGAGAACAGATTAGATATAGGTTCAAACACAACCAAACACAGAGTGTTCCATTAGCAGGGCCCAGGCATCCACTCCCCAGAAAGAGAGCTCTATGGCAAGCCAATTTACAATCAGAGGTATCCAGGAGGAAGTGAAATTCAATGAAGAGGAAATGGAAATGGTTGTATGATTTGTGTGATTAATGTCATGAAATTTGCTAGACAGAGGCCCCATCACTCAACATGGACCATGCATGACAGGGAATAAATGTGTTACCTTCGTTTTGAGGCCCAAGTGCTTTCCTTTTTGTCAGCGTCTGGATGGACATCATGGGCATCTAGCTCCTTAGATCTCCTTTGTCTGTGCCCAGGTTCACCGTCTCCTCTTCCTCACCCCATCTTTCTCCAGAAGGACTATTATCGGTTAGATTCCCTGTTACTAAATTAAAATCACAATTCAGTCCTACCTTCAGGAGGAAACATCCTCATTTTCTAGATACAGTTTTAGCTCCTTCTAATCTCCTTGGCCACTCATATATAAATCCATTCTGTTCAGTCTTGGTACAGATGAGTAAAAATCTATTAGGGCTAATTTTGTTAATGAAACTCTCCCAGGGCCATTTCCTTTCCTTTATATCTTTGTATGATTTCCCATCTTCTCTGTCACTTTCAGAGGCTACCTTGAGGTGTTACTGCCCTCCCTCCTTTTATTCTCCAACGATTTGCATTTACAATCCATGGCAAGGATAGCCATAAGCTTCGACTCAAACATTTGGTGGTTCCTGTTCCCTTGAATAACTTCTAATTACAATTCTACAGAATATTCATACAGGGCATTCAAAATCTGACATTTCAAATATAAAATACATTCTAGGGGTGTCTGGGTGGCTCAGTGGGTTAAAGCCTCTGCCTTCAGCTCAGGTCATGATCTCAGGGTCCTGGGATCGAGCCCCACATCAGGCTCTCTGCTCAGCAGGGAGCCTGCTCCCCCACATCCCCCCTCCCCCACCTGCCTCTCTATTTGTGATGTCTGTCTGTCAAATAAATAAATAAAATCTTTTAAAAAATACATTCTAAGTGAACCTGTCTGTAATGGTAGCATTTTCATCCATGAGTTACCAAGTGGCTTTTCCATTTCAGTGAGACCAGATGAACAACAAAAGGGGTGGAAAAACCAGTTGTGTTCTTCATCTGAGGAGACCACAGTTGCCAATGATGTGAAAACCAAACCATTAACCTTTCTGAAGACCCCCTTTGCTCTAACCTTGTTGCTTCCTATTCACGTCAACTTGGGACTCTCTGATCTCTGCTGCTTCTAGGATTTTGAAGATGGAGGAAAGGCCTGGAGTCCATCTGGAAAGTCTGTATAGACCAGGGCAGTTTTCTCAGAGGGGCCTAGCTCTCGACCTATCAGAAGAATTTCAGTTCTGAGTTATTTCAGCCAAGTTATGGTTTGGTGTACAACGTATAGAACAAACACCTAGGGACTTTGGAAAGTTAGGCTTTGGACAAGACCCTGTCCTTTCTGATCTCCTGAGATTTTGATGTCAGCCTAGCCTTATGGCGACTGGGAGGCCCCAAAGCAGCCTTTGGGTATCTAGTTATGCTTGGAAACCTGGCTATAATCAAGCAAACCAAGTGTAACTTGCACATAGACTCTAATTCATAGACCTGGGAGGACGACTGAGGGACACTGTCAGGGGAGGAGGCCGTAGGCCTAGAATCTTCATTCTTATGGGGATGTACAGAGAGACTCTGTCTACCAAGCTAGTAAAAGAATGTGCTCAAGAGTTAGGATGAGGGACAAGGCCCAGTGAGCTTCTTATGTTGGTAAGGGGAAGTTTTGGAACAGCTATTTTGTGGTATGTAATAGATACCTTGAATAATTCACATATATGTACATCATGAGATATAAATAGTCATCCTGACAGTAAAACATTATCCAATATGGTTGAAGTTCCTGCGTTCTCTTTGATTGTACCTCCGAATTCCCCTTGAAATCCCTTGTATCGATACTACAAATGTGTATATTCCTAAATTAGATATAATGCTGTTACAGTTTTTTTTCTTCCGTATATATGCTGTCATTCTGCATGAAGTCTTCTGTAACTTGATTTTTTTTTCATTCATTGCTATGGTTGTAGGAAACATTCCAAGGGATACACGTAGCACTGATTCATATTTGTTTTGCCAGCAGTGCTTTTCATGCAGTCATCCCAGCTGTGGGGAGGAAGGGAAGCAATAGGGATGGAGGCAGTTAAGGAACAGTCCAGACTATGCACTTGGTGTCCCACAGTGGTGACTCAGTTCACCCATGGGTCAGCTGGAAGGGTGGTAGCAGGACCTAGCTAGTAAAGGAAACTAATTATAAGGCAGAAAAGCTGAATTTGCACAGAGAACCTGGAATCAACTAAATATAAATAATATTTCATGGTAATAAGCCATAAAATAAAAAATAATTTATTAAATAAATTAATAATTGCCTGCTTATGATTAACATTTTTTTGAGTTAAGTATATCACTATTTCAAATAGTAGACACTGTGTGCGCTCTTCAGGAAATGGCCTAATTAATTTTCCTACCTAGTTTTTCTCTCCTTTGCCTTCTCTGTCTTCCCTGGGTTTTCGGGATTCTGCCCCAGCAGATATGATTCCTGCTCTGAGCCATTCTGAAGGATTGGCTTTTGTCACCATCAGTGAAACTAAGCTGGCCCCTGACCGGACACCGTAGCAAAGGCTTTGGTGATCTTTCTCGGTTAGAACAATAAAGATTTTCTTGGAATGTAATCCCAGTGGTTTCTCTTTTCTGTGTAGCCCAGAAGAATACCTGATTACCATCCAGAACTGTGGATATCAATTTTCCTGGAAGATTCGACCACTGCTATTCAGAGCTGCTGTTGGAATACCATGTCTAAGAACTCGGAGTTTATCAATCTGTCATTTCTGTTAGATCATGAGAAGGAAATGATCCTGGGAGTCTTAAAGAGAGATGAATACTTGAAAAAAGTGGAGGACAAGAGAATAAGGTAATATATTTTTTAAAAATTTTTCTGCTTTTCTTGACTACTGTCTCTTTGAAGCAGGTTAGATCAGAAATTGGGCAACTGTGACCATGCTGGAAACAAATGTTGGTCAGTGACATTATGGGTCCCCAGCAGTAGCCCACATATCAGAGAATGTCTTTGATATTTTATCATTAGCTAGATGGGAGGATGGAATTGAGCAGATGATATGGTGCTGATGAGAATGCCGTTTGCTAATAATATCCTAAGCGGTAGTGAAGTGGAAGGCCTGCCTGTGTTTGAATACCAGCTCTGAGATGTATTGTGTGACCTTGTTTGAGTGACTCAGTTTCTCCATGCCTTAGTTCCCTCATCCCTAAAACAAGGATAATAAAATTGCCCACCTCATAGTGTTGTTGCGAGGATTAAGGGAGACAATACACGTGCAGTGCCTGGTATGTAAGTTCACAATTATTTATTTATAATGCCTTTCTCAGGTCAGTCTTTCTGAGAATTCCTTCCTACCATAGCTGAGAGAAGAAGGGGATCTGGAGAGAGGAAAACTCTCATTTTACCCCATACATTACCTGAATTTTTAAAAAATAAGTCTCTGTGTGAGTAATGTTGAGTAGAATGGGCCCAGTTGAGTTTCCCATCCGTTGTAGGCAAGGTTGTTATTTAGCTGGATCCCCATGCATGACATCACCTGTGTTTCAGCTCACAGCCATTCTGATTGGTTGCACCACCTCTTCCGAACGGTCCCAGCACTGTTTTGATTGGTTGTCACACCCATTGGGATGGGTTGCTGCTTGTGCTGGGTTGCTTGTTAAATATATTTGGCTATTCCATCTCACCCCAACTAGAGGAGCAGAAATAAATAGAGTTCCCTTCTCAGTGACTACCAGCTGTGCAGCTTCTGTGTCTTAAGCGTCTCCCAAAACTGTGATCATTTTGACCACAATGCTGTGAAACTGGAAGTCAACCATAAGGAAAATTCCACAAACATAAGGAAACATAAGGAAAAGACCATTTCCACAAACATAAGGAAAAGACCACAAAAAGCTTAAGTTTATTGTATTTCATTTTTTATTGAGGAGAAAACTTATCATACGGTTATGTTCTTATGTTGCAAAGATATTCAGTGTGCCTAAAGGAACTAGGATCCTAGAATTGGAAATACATTGAAATATTCTCGATTGATGCTTATTTCATAGTTAAGAGCCCAGAATTTTTATTTCCATCCTTCATAAGAATTCAAGCAATCTTACAGGAATAAAGGCTTGGAATTCAGGTTAAGGCAGTTAATGATTTTTAAAGATATCAGAAATGATGTTTTTTTGGCATTTGTATTCCAGTCACGAAAAGTGACTAAATTTTCTAATGTGCTGCAAAAAGTTATATTGTTTATGGGAGGTGAGGTACTAGCTGGTAACTGATGACATGCTCTGGGGAATTAAAAATCACTCTACTCAGGAGAACACAATTTAACAGCCGCAGCCTCAGAAACGCCGAAGTACAATGAATAGGAATTTCTTCAGAATGTTTGCTTCTGTCATTCCCAATAACTTTCCCTAATAATCTGTTATACTCTTCCCCCTTTTCTGTTTCTTCCCTTGTCCTTTTCCCTTATTCTCCATAAAGAAATTTAGCGGGCTGTGTAACATACAACAGAGCTATTGCGAATGAAGTTGTTGATTTCCTGGTTCTTCAAACTTATTTGAGGAAAGCAAAAGAAAGGCTCTGATAGACCCAAGTGATACCTTTATAGAGAATAGATTTTTTAAAGCTGCTGTATCTTCTTCTCATCTTTAATAAAAATAGTGGCTAATATTTTATTGAGGTTTTTTTTTTCCCCCTGCACCAACTGTATTAAATATGTTGTCTCTTTTTGTTCTCAGCTACCAACATATGAGCCCAGGCCAGATGACTTGGGTTCTGTCACTCTTAACAGTTTTATATATTGAGAAGCCACACCGAAGTGAGTGGCGTGGTGTTTCCGGTACATGCTGTTGAATCACAAGCCACATTTGTTGATTCACATCTCAATCACACCGTGAAGTCTTTGTGTCAGTTTAGATAGGTTGTTTCCATGGATAAATCTAGTTCCCTCATTTGACAAAACAGAAATAATAGCATTAGGCACCTCATAAGATTGTTGTAGGGATTAAATAAGCTAATATTATTAAGGGCTTAGAAGAATGCTGGCATACAGCAAGTACTTGATAATTGCTGGCTAGAATCATCGGCCCTATTGTTGGTATGTGTTGTAGTGAACACTAGCAGTCCTCTACTGAGCTCCACTCAGATCCCTTGTGGTCTGTGCTCTCATCTCCCAGTTTCCACATGTTTACTGCTAAGGATGGTGTCTAGTACCTTCTTTAGAGGACTACCCTTGGGGGACAAGCGTTGGCAGTAGGGCTAGAGAACCACAAGTACCAGGCAAACTTGAGTTTCTGTCCCTGCTGGGCAGCCCCAAGCCAATGGCTGACAGCCTTTGCCGTGGAGCTTCTGCCTCACAGTTTCCGGTGGAATCATGCTGAGATGGGACTTCCCCTAAAGACCACACCCTCACTTAGCCCCTCCCCCCTTTTCTGTCCTGCCTCCACCCTTCCCTTCTGTGTTCCTCCTAAGGGTACTTACTCCATAAGTCGCTTGCACACAAATCTACATCCCAGAGTTAGCTTTTGGAAAAGCCAACCAAGAAGTTTACCAGACCAAACAGGGATCTTAATTACTGTTGTGGTGATTGTTTTTACCGTGTTATAGAAGTGTAGATTGATATTTTGTCAGTGTTCAGAGGAAGTGCAATTAATTATGAATAAGAAACTGAAGGAATGGTTTTCACAGAAGGGCTAACGCTTGAGCTTGGCCTTGAAATGTGAAAAAGATTTGACATTAGCAATTACCTGTCAACTGTGTTTTAGCTGTTTACCATGAACCACAAAACTGCCTTCAGAGTCTGCTAATGAGTTTCAGAAGGAAATGGAAGACCAAGAAAAGTTTTAAGAATTAGGATGATTACAGAGAAGTAAGTGATACGGAAAGTAAGTCAACAAGACTTTGGAAAGCAGTGAATTTATTGTTTCTTTGTGTGTTTATTCATTGCAGTAGGTTATTCTTAAAATAGAAACATAGAGGAATATCAAAATTGTGTTGAATCAGTGCTTTAGGCCTGATGCCCAACTGTGCACTACAGCCCACGTAGCCCCAAAGTGTGGCATTAATTAAAATGAGATTGGTCTGTGGGTGTTCCTGAAGGTGCTCTGCACCCAGAAGGCACATGGCAAGCCTGATAATTATCTCCAGGCATGAACTATAGTCTGGAAAGAGGTGTCTACCTACTAAAAGAGCATTTTAGGTTCACCCAAAAGGCTCCAATATATTTATTTTCCCTCAGACCAAGCAGGAAGAAATGGTAGGAGATACCTAGACCCAGGTTTCAACTATTACAGACTAAGAGTATTTTAAATGTTCTCTGTGAAGAACAAATCATTTTGCTTTAATGATGGCTTTCATGCAGAGAAAAAAGAGAAAGGAGGTGATGCCAATAAAATCGAGCTACCAACAGTGAATGCAAATGGAAAAAAATAGAGTTTGGAAGCACAAAAAGATCTTCGTTGATCATTTTGTACCATAGATTTTTCTAACTTTGGAAGAGCTCACCCTAACATAAAAGAGGACATGGTTCATAGTATCTCCTCCTAAAAAAAAAATCTTACTAACAAAACATTACTCTACTTGATCTTCCACGCCTAAAAACAAACGCTGTTAAATGTCTACTTCGTGGTGTTGGCCTAAGAAATCTTCAGTTTATAATGTTAGCAGTTCATTTGGGCTTTACTCTTACTGAGAAGATGTCATTTCCATTTGGCCACAGTACATGAAAACATATCTGGACTTAATGTTCTCTTTGGCACCTACTCTTGGGCTTATCTCAGTAATGAACTCTGCTGGTCTCCTCACAGCATACATTTTTCTTCCTCCCTACACAAATTTTAATTTTCTACACCTCCAGCAGTGGACTTTTTAAGACATTTATTTATTTGACAGAGATCACAAGTAGGCAGAGAGGCAGGCAGAGAGAGAGAGGGAGAAACAGGCTCCCCACTGAGCAGAGAGCCCGGTGCAGGGCTCGATCCCAGGACCCTGGGACCATGACCTGAGCCAAAAGCAGAGGCTTTAACCCACTGAGCCACCCAGGCACCCCCAGCAGTGGATTTTTAAAAATTAATTAATCACCCCTTGACTAATAGTCCTCTAGCAACCGTCATTGGTTTAGAGGTAGACATAAGGCCAATGGTGACCCACTCAAACATATAGCCCAGGTTTCTGGAAGGTTCTCTTTCCCACTGTACATATTCAATGAAACATGTTACCGCAGTTGCTGTTGAGGATGAAAGCCAGCACAATGATGAAGCTGAGCCAAGAGAATGGCAGAGAATTGTTGCCAACATCCTGATGTCCTAGAACCTGCCATACCGCTGGGCTTCTTTTATAAGCACTATACTATATTTCCATGTTACTTATAGTGATGTCAGTCTGATTTTCTGTTACATGTAGCCCAAGGCATCCTATAATCTGTGATTCAGAAGTAATCAACATTTGCTGAGAACTTTCTGTAGGCCAAATGTATATTTATTATTGGGGTAATAAAGGTGAGCAGAGGGGCGCCTGGGTGGCTCACTTGGTTAAGTGTCTGCCTTCTGATCTCAGGGTCCTGAATGGGTACCTGGACCCAACTAAGGATGTGCCCATGGTTACAGCCGCCCCTTCTGAAAGCCCAGCCCAGCAGGTGTAGCTGCCCCCAGCCACTGCCTGAGCCCAAAGCACCTGCTATTCCTGGGAGCTGAGGTCAACATGGCCTGTGAGGACTCTTTTCCAGCGCCTGCCCTCTCCGAGGCTCTGCTGTCTCTCCATTCCTGTCTCTGCGGGGTTGGACCTCCCAGCTTCACAGAGCACTCCCCTAGTTACACACACATGCGTGCACGTACACACTGGCATGGAAACAGGACTGCCTTGGTGCC